CTAGTTAAGATATCTGAATTCTATACTGTTCTTAACTGAGCTTGAATAATTGTTTGGTTCATTATGTTAACACCCAATGAAGCACCCTAGGATAGCATTCTTCATCATCTGAAAACTCCAATCAAATTTGTTACTTGCTTGTTTATTTTATTACTTTATAAACCATTCATTGTCTTAGCTTAATATTGATCCATAGAAATAAAGTGTAAGATTTGGTCTCTGTGAATTCGATCCTAAAGTGCTACATCGACATACCATTCGATTGTGGTAGTGTGCACATTAGGTTAATTGGTGTGTGTATACACGTAATATCAGTTAGGAGTGAGGAGGCTGAGGGATTCATCTAAGGTGTATGCTTTGAGACTCATATGGCGCTTGTTCACCCAGCCTACTTCCTTGTGGGTTTGTTGGATCAAGTACTATTTGCTTCGTCAAAGCTCATTTTGGGATGTAAGAGATGATACAAAAGGGTCCTGGATATGGAGGAAACATCTTTAGTTGAGGAATTTGGCTTATGAATATTTGAAAGTGGAGGTGCTAAACGGAGAAACAACTTATTTCTGGTTCGATAATTGGATGGGCTGTGGAAAATTGATCAATACTACCGGAGCCATTGGTACAACTTATCTAGGTTTACCTCGCAGCGCGCTATTGTGTAATGCGGTTACTGGGGATGGCTGGACTCTCAGAAACAAGCGCAGTAGGAGGCTCCAGAATTTATATACTCAAATACTTGGAGAACCAATACCGGCTGCAACCAGGGGTAATGATCTGATTCTTTGGAGACATAAGGAGGATGATTTCAAGGATACTTTCTCTACGGTTCACACTTGGGAACATATTCGATTAAAGAAAGCCAAATTTGATTGGTGTAAGGTTGTTTGGTTTGCGCAGGAAATTCCTCGATATGCATTCATTACTTGGTTAGCAATTCTGAACAGGTTTTCTACTGGAGATAGGATGAAAATTGGGGAATCACGCAGGGTTGAGACTAAGGATCACCTATTCTTTGTGTGCCCCTACTCTTTCACGGTTTGGGAAGGACTGGTCAGGGGCTTCTTTGGCCAGAGAACTAATCATGACTGGTCTTTTACGCTCAATATGATCAAGCGAAACAGGTTACCTCGACTTAATTCCATCCTCATTAAGATGGTTTTCCAAATAGTAATCTATCATGTCTGGAGGGAAATAAATGTGTGACGTCATCAAGGCAAATGGATGTCGACCGAGCAGATGCGTAAAACCATCGACAAGACGATGCGGAATAGGATTGTGTCACTAAAGTACGGTCCTCAGCACCGCAATGCAGGACTCCTGCAGCGATGGTTTCAAGTGACTGGCTAGTTTGGAAGTTGGTTGTGTTTTCCTTCGATTTTTCTTCCTACTGCATTCCATTAAGCTTACATAGTAGTATTAGTCTGATTCTTTTGTAAATATAATTCTTTATCAAAGTTGATCAATAAATTTGAAATTTCATCAAAAAAAAATGAGAGAGATGCAATGTGTAGTTTTGTAAGATTATGGCTTAAAAGTAAGTATGGATTGTATAGATCAATAACATGTTGTTTCCTAACCATTTTTTTTCCAAAATCAGCATTTTTAATTTCAGTTAAGTAAGTGAAATTATTAATAGTGTAGTAATTGATCTGATAAAAACATAAATTAGATGTGATTGCATCTAAGAACAAAAAATATTCACCAATGGATGAAGAGAAAATGACTTAAATAGACCTAAAGAAGTTTTTATCACAAATATAGACATTAACAATTAAAATGACCAAAATAACACTTAAATGTTTTATTAAATATATATTTATATCCTTTGGGTTAACTATTACTAGATTTTTTGTTTAGAGTTAAGGAATGTGGTTTTGGAGATAGGGTTTCGAATTTAAAAAAATTAAAAAAACTTAAAATTTTTAAAATAAAAAGTGTTATTTTGGTCATTTTAATTTTTGAGGTCTATTTTTATGATAAAAACTTAAAAGATGACTATTTGAGAGATTTGCCCATGGATGAAACACAAAGAACTTGGAAGAAAACAAAAAAAAAAATTAATGGAAAAACTTACTCTTCATGAAGGTCCTCTTTATGTAGCAATTTCTATCTTATTTTCTTTTCCTTTATTATTCCAATGTTTTGTCCATTGTCATTTTGGAAAATAAAAGCTTGATTATAAACAAAGGCTAATGATAATTTTACATCAAAGCATACAAAAAACTTGTTATCACATGTTAACGCTCCAAGCTGTGGCAACGATTTGGATGCAACAAAACAAATGGTTTTAAATGCGAAGTATAGTTTTAGTATGATGCGGTTGGTTGAAAAAAAAACACATTCTATGGGATAAATTTTCTTACATCATAACAAGAGATATATAATAATATATGATGAGGTTATTACATTTAGTAACTTTGTAATAAACTGTTGTAAGAATTAACGGAAACGTGACAAGTAGTAAATTAATACACATAATACTATTACTAACTTATAAATATTACATTATTTTCAAAAAATAAAATATTATTATTTTAGATTTTAGCTTTATGTATAAAAATTAAAAACATAAAATTAATATTTGGTAACTTTTTATTTTCATTTCCGTGAGTTTTTGACAATAAATCATTTTTATAGACATTAAAACTATTCTTAAAAATAACTTTATTGGATTATAATTTACACAAAAAAATAAAATGTATATTTTCCTAATCTCCTATAAATGTGTGTTTTCAGTATCCTCTAGCTTTATTATCTCCTTTAAATTTAATAATAAATTATTATAACTTATTTATATATTATCATTATATTAATTTTAATAACAAATTAAATAAAAATTTAGAATAAATAAATATGGCATGACTTCCAAAATGATTTTAGAATAAATAATTAATTATCTAGTTTTTTTCTTTTGATAAGTTTCTTGAATTTAAATGTGGTTGTAGATATAATTTTACTAAATCTCATCAAAATATAGCAAGAGTTAAGAAATATAAAGATAATTTTATTGTGAATGTAACAAACAATATAATGGTTGGTTTATACTTATATAAAATATATATTCATAGAAATTATTAACTTATAATTTTAGTGGGATCCTACATATACATAAAATTTTCAAAGAAGTTATTCTCTTATCATTTTATTGATTTGTGTTATATTTTAAAACTATCCAACTTGGGAATGGGGAAATTTGTTAATTTATGGTATTTATTATTTTATAAAGTTTTTACTGTAATTAAATATCACCAAAAGCGAAGATTCTAATTCTCTTGGAAGTTAGAATATTTTTTTCTGATGTTAATGAAATTATTTGGCTTAATAATTTTTTTTTTATTTTTCTTTAACTATTATCTTGATTTGATTTTTCTTGCATGTAGAAATAATATTATAAAGCCATTGATTCGACATCAAGACTGTATAAAATTCATATAACATGAAACCAAACAATAATAATATTTTTTGGTTATCACCAGAATAACCAAAACCTCAAACATTTTAACCGAACAAACTGAGATAAATGTAGATTTAGAAGGGTAGTTATATTGTAGTAGATTAAAAAAATGACCTAAAACCAAACTTTTATCAAAATTAAACAGATCTAATGCCTTCTAATCTTAAAAAATAAAAATAAAATGGTAATCTCATCCCGTACAAGGCACGATTATTGCATAATACCTAAGCGTAACTGATAATTCTGGAAGCTCTATGAAAGAGTATCATATTTACAATACTAAAATATTTTTTATCAGTTTACATAATTTTATGCCTTATATTTATTTGAAGGTAAACTGAAAATGATTTTATATAATCTTAAGAATTATAATTTTTTAATTACTTGAGTAATTTTATTATGAATATAATAAGTTCCATAAACATTAAAAACATATATTAAAAAAATGTTAAGCAAAAATTAATTTTTAATAATGACAAAATATAATATATCTACCTCATTAAAAGTATATAGTGCTATGATACTTGAAAGTATTTTGTTATTATTTTATCAAAATATGCTTATTGTAATTTTTGAAGTTTTATTTTATTTATTTTTATATAATAAGCACTAAAAGATTAATGATTGTTTTTGGGAAAACTATCATATAAGTAAAACATAATTTATAGATATTTGTTTTTTTTTCTGTAGTTGTAAGATATTATAGTCAACTAAATATTATGAAAAAATAAATAAAAGATTCAATAACACTAATTATAAACTTTCTTAATCAATTAAACATAAATAGGTTATAATTATATGTAATCATCTAAGAAAATAGAGATATATAACTAAATATATTTCTGTTATTGAATATATAAATATTATATTATTTCAAATTATTTTTTAAAGGGAGTAATATTTTTAATACCAAGATTATCTTTGTGAACTTTTTTTATGAAATCACATTATATACAAATATATTTTTCTTTTCATCTAAGAATGTATCTGTATTTTACATTAAAAGTATATATATGTAATTTAAAAATATATTTTAAAGGGAATATTACGATTTTGTTGTCTTTCCAGTTTTAATGAAATCATATTATATACATATACATACATATATCTATATATATTTTTTTGTTTTTAAATTAAACTTTATAAATGTTTCTTTTTTTATTATATATGCTGTTTGAAAAAGTAAATAGAAACTAAATGAAAAATTAATATTTATATTTAATGTAATATTTTTCACTCATGAATGATGCTTCTGTAATCAACCATCGTAAGAATTAATATGAGCGTGATACGTAGAAAACTGACTCCTCAAAGAGTATTATAGAGATCTTTTTCATAAGAAAATGGAAGAGTACTTATATATCATGAGAGTTTTGGAGAATTCAGAGCACAACAGAATCATGAACATGGTCCTCAAAGAAAGCGAAAGAACAATGAAACATTCAAAACCAAGATGAATGTTTGGGATTTGTAATATTCTCTTAATAGAGTTAAAAAAGCAAATTTAATTAATTATTTAATATCTCATTAAGAAGATAACACAAAAGAGTTACGAAATTGATCCAGGGAATTTTGTAGCACATATGCTTTTGAAGATTGATGTATTTAAAGCTCTGGTAGGAGAGACAAGCAAGAGGGATTCAGGAAGTGTTTTCACTGCTTGGCAACACTCACTTGTTAACAGACTGCTATCATTATGTGATGCTAATTTCACTGCATCGAAACATCCACTCACTGTATCTAAAGCTGTTTTCTTAGGACACATGAACGTATTCGGGTGAACATCCTGGGCTCCCAATAGTTGGACGATCGATGTTGAGATTAGGGCTAACAAGAAAAACATGAGTTTGATATGTCGAAGTTTCATTTTTGACAAGATTCAAAAATGATTAATTTTTTAGGTTTGGGTTGCTTAAGAGCTCGAGGAGACCTTTGACTGGGTAGATAAATAAAAATGAGTTATAGTTCTAATCTTTTTGTCGAGAAACTTATTATATAGAAAGATAATTAATTTGGTAAACACAATTTGTCAAAAAAGAAAAGATAAATAGGTAAAGATTGACTATAAGAAATCAAATCTTTTTAGAAAATTTACTGATTTGTTTGACCGATGTGCAAAAGATTATGTGATGAGATTGTATATTCACTCTTTCCATTGTCGTTTATTTTCCCTTGTGAAATATAATGAAACAGTTGACTACTTTAGATCGGTAGAATTGATGATAGAACATTAAAAACAATTATATATAAATTTATCATAAATGTACTTAAAGTAGTAATTGGTAGATTAGTAAAATATTTATATATATTAAATTATCATAAAATTAGTATATGCTATATAATTTATTTATTTTAAATAATAAAAAAATAGATATTTATAATATATATTATATTTTCTATTTTATTATTGAAAATTATTAGTTATATTTTATTATATAAGTTTAATTATGTTTAAATGTGAAATCTACTTTTTTATAAAGGGAAAATATTTTAATTGAAAAATTTATTTTCTAAAATAGAAATTTTTATTTCTGGTTATAAACATATTTTAATATTATTTAATAAATTAACTTATTTAGATATAATTATTTTTCATTTTCATATATTATAAATGAAATTATTCTAATAAAAACTCCATTTGAAAGGATTGAACAAAGCATGTAGAAAGCACTAGTATGTTAATAATACTATGGGTATAGCCTTCGCGCAAGCGCGGGGTCGGGGATATAGTTGATGTATTCTATAATTTTATTATATCCTTTAATGTTTTATTTATAACCTGAACTGATATGGTCGGGAATATTACTATTTTGTTGTCTTTCCATTTTGAATGAAATTATATTATATACATATACATATATATATATATATATATATATATGTTTGTGTATGTGTGTGTTTTTTTTTAAAATTAAACTTTATAAATTTTTTCTTTTTATTATATATGTTGTTTGAAAAGTAAACAGAAACTAAATGAAAAATTAATATTAATATTTAATATAATATTTTTAATTCATTAAGGGTGCTTCTGTACTCAATCATCATAAAGATTAATATGAGTGTGATACATAGAAAACTGACTTCTCAAATAGTATTATAGAGATTTTTTTCATAAGGCAATGGAAGAGTACTTATATATCATGAGAGTTTTGGAGAATTCAGAGCACAACATAATCATGAACATGGTCCTCAAAGAAAGCGAAAGAACAATGAAACATTCAAAATATAGATGAATGTTTGGGATTTGTAATATTCTCTTAATAGAGTTAAAAAAGCGAATTTAATTAATTATTTAATATCTCATTAAGGAGATAACACAAAAGAGTTACGAAATTGATCCAGGGAATTTTGTAGCACATATGCTTTTGAAGATTGATGTATTTAAAGCTCTGGTAGGAGAGACAAGCAAGAGGCATTCAGGAAGTGTTTTCACTGCTTGGCAACACTCACTTGTTAACAGTCTGCTATCATTATATGACGCTAATTTCACTGCATCGAAACATCCACTCACTGTATCTAAAGTTGTTTTCTTAGGACACATGAACGTATTCGGGTGAACATCCTGGGCTCCCAATAGTTGGACGATCGATGTTGAGATTAAGGCTAACAAGAAAAACATGAGTTTGATTTGTTGAAGTTTCATTTTTGACAAGATTCAAAAATGATTAATTTTTTTAGGTTTGGGTTGCTTAAGAGCTCGAGGAGACCTTTGACTGGGTAGATAAATAAAAATGAGTTATAGTACTAATCTTTTTGTCGGGAAACTTATTATATAGAAAGATAAGTAATTTGGTAAACACAATTGGTCAAAAAAAAGAAAAGATATATAGGGAAAGATTGACTATAAGAATCAAAACATATTTAGAAAATTTACTGATTTTTTTGACCGATGTGCGAACAATTATGTGATGAGATTGTATATTCACTCTTTCCATTGTAGTTTATTTTCCCTTGTGAAATATAATGAAACAGTTGACTACTTTAGATCGGTAGAATTGATGATAGAACATTAAAAACAATTATATATAAAATTATCATAAATGTACTTAAAGTAGTAATTGGTAGATTAGTAAAATATTTATATATATTAAATTATCATAAAAATTAGTATATGCTATATAGTTTATTTATTTTAAATAACAGAAATAATTTATAGTTATAATATATATTTTATTTTCTATTTTATCATTGAAAATATTATTTATATTTTATTATATAATTTAATTATGTCTTAAATTTGAAATATACGTTTTTATAAAGTGAAAATATTTTAATTGCAAAATTTATTTTTTAATATAAGATTTTTTATAGCTTCTGTGCAAGCGCAGGGTCGGGGATATAGTTGATGTATTCTATAAATTTATTATATCATTTAATGTTTGATATATAACTTGAGCTGATGAGGTCGGGAATATTACTATTTTGTTGTCTGTTCATTTTTAAAGAAATCATATTATATACATATTATATACATATACATATATATATATTTGTTTTTAATTTAAACTTTATAAATATTTCCTTTTTATTATATATGCTGTTTGAAAAAGTAAATAGAAACTTAATGAAGAATTAATATTTATATTTAATGTAATATTTTTTGGTGCTTCTATAATCAACCATCGTAAGAATTAATATGAGCGTGATATGTAGAAAACTGACTTCTCAAATAGTATTATAGAGATTTTTTTTTCATAAGAAAATGGAAGAGTACTTATATATCATGAGAGTTTTGGAGAATTCAGAGCACAACAGAATCATGAACATGGTCCTCAAAGAAAGCGAAAGAGCAATGAAACATTCAAAATCTAGATGAATCTTTGGGATTTGAATTATTCTCTTAATAGAATTAAAAAAAATTAATTAATTATTTAATATCTCATTAAGAAGATAACACAAAAGAGTTACAAAATTGGGTAGATAAATAAAAATAAGTGATAGTCATAATATTAATGTTGGGAAACTTATTATATAGAAAGATTAGTAATTTGGTTAAAACAATTGGTCAAAAAAAAGAAAAGATAAATAGGGAAAGATTGACTATAAGAAATCAGAACATATTTAGAAAATTTACTAATTTGTTTGACCGATCTGCAAACAATTATGTGATGAGATTGTATATTAACTCTTTCCATTGTATTTTATTTTCCCTTGTGAAATATAATGAAACAACCATATATGTGATGAGATTGTATATTCACTATTTCCATTGAACTTTCCGTGGTCCTCAACTAGGGTTCTTTAACCGCGCGCAAGCGCGGGGTATTTGAGTGTTGTATGTGCATTCTCAATAGAAATGATCTCATGACATGTATAGATACTGATGAAGATCAAAACTCACGGGAGAAAAATATGTAATCGATTAACTCTTATGAACATTGTACAATGTATTTTGTGATCCATTTGGTAGCTACCCATTTCTCTCCTTTGATCACATGGAAACTCCCGTGAAGCGAAGTCTGCAAAATAACATTGCAACTATAAGCAAAGAGCTACTATTATCATGGACTAGCTGGACAAGTTTGATCTAATCCAAGGAAATGAAGTCAAGAAAAGAAAAAAAAATGAAATATGGAGATGATTAAACATGGTTAAAAACCTTATTTACCAGATCAACTGATTCATTTGGAAGCACTAAATAGACAGGAAGACCATCTCATTTCCCAGCTTTTACTTTTAGCCTAATACATTGCTTGTAATCTTATCCATTGCTCATGTTAGCACCATTCTGGCAATCAAGAGGGGTGTATGAATGAAGGAACCAAAACTAATAAAAACAGTTTGGATCGTATATATATATATGCAATGAGGTTTTGTGAACTGACCTCAAAAGGAAACATGGTTTCATGCCTTCTTCAACATCAGATAAGTACAATAGGAAGGAATCAATCTGCATAAAAAGTAAATTAAGTCTAAGGTTCTAAAGAAGGCTATGGAATACGAGAGATAAAAGGATGTTATCCTTTGGCTTTTTTTTTTGTGGTCCATACTTTGTTGGGTTACAAACATCATAATGGGAATCATACTTTTGGCCAAGTTCATACTTTAAAATATTGATTGTCTGCCAAAGGTAAGTAAGTAATATCAATAAATACTCATTGCTATTATCATGGTAAAGTCAAAACTAAACACACTTAGGTCTATAAATCAAATGGGAAGTAGAGAACTAAACCACCTTTCCATGGGTCCTTCGGATCATGGTAGCCTTTGCAATTTTCTTTTCAACAAACTCAAGAGCACCATCACTCTCTTCTGAAGCACTAACAAAGGTTCCAGAGCTGTAACAACACACCAGAAAAGGATACTGATGAATATTAGTCATTCAGAAAATCAAAGGTGGCTTCTTTTCTGCAAGAGTAGAAATAGAAGAATCTAGTTCTAGTGTCCTGAGGGCTCTCAACAGTTCTCCTTGCCGTAGAGCCAAAGAAGAAGGTTTCAGATTAACCTTTGCTCTCTCAATAATAGCTTGGCATTACTCTGCAGTTGCAAAATTTGGAAAGTATAAAGCCCTCTGTCTCCAACATGCACCATTGTTAAAAGCAAGATGATCCAGAAATAGATGAAACACCAAATCTCAATACTTGCTTCAGTTTGACGAATGTTACAAAACCCAATGACCTCACACTCATAATCCAGAAAACAGAGGTTAACTTGATCAAAGGTCGTGACTTTACACTTAAGTGATTGATTCAGTTAACCAATGTTAGAAAAAGCCAATGACCTCATACTTATGATCAGCCAAAAGAGAGAGTCTGATTCAATCAAAGTTCGCAACTGTACACTTAAAGTAATCGATTTAGTTGACCGAAGTGAGAAAACCCCAATGACCTCACACTCTAATCAGACAGTATTGTTTGATTCAATCAAAGATCACAACTTAACAGTTGACCAGTGTCAGAAAACATAGTTCAATTCTTATCAAAGATTGTAACTTTACCCTTAACTAATCGATTCAGCACAATTGCAAAAACCATGTGTGAATCAGCTAGAAAACATACTTCAATTAGACCAAAGATTGCAACTTTAAGTGTATCAAATCTAAAAGTAGTAACAAAGATTACACTTGATGACATGAAACGGAATTGGCCCAACAGATTCATCTCCAGTAACACCATGAGGCATCGATCCAGCTTCTTCTCCTTCACCATTCTCCACCATCTCTAGCATTCCCAACCTAGTAAAAAAAAATTATCTTTTAATTAGTTTCGACCAAAACCACTGAAAACCTCTAAAGGTATCTTCTGCATTGTTAATCTCAACCAAAATCGAGTCTTTTGTGGTCTACAAATCACACAGACACAATCTTGAGTCGTTAAACGCAAAACCCATAACAAAAATTTCAACATCGACATTCAACCCTAAGATTTAGCCAAGATAACCTTAACAGAACCTAGTCTGGTTCGTAACACCTCGGCCCATCTCCGCTATGTGAACTTTTACCTCTGGCGCGCATCCTTTTCACCATTATTCCAGATCTTCGAGCAAAAGCAATAGATTTTACTAGAAAATAAAAGATGAAAAGAATATGAACACAAAAGAAGAATATACCAAGGAAAAGGAGGCGAGGTCATGGTGATGGTGGGTTCCAGACTTCAGCAGAGGTGGTGAGCTTAGATTTAGCAAGCAGATTGAAGAATGGTGAGACATGAGGAGATGAAAGATCTCAAAAGAAGATGAAAGAGTTAATGCAAAACTAAAAAAGGTGGGGCCCAAATAAAATGCTGATGTGGCTATTTTGTTTTTTGAACGTCTGCATTGCAATAGAAATAAATTGTTCGAAATGAAAAACAGAGAAAGGACATAGCACTCAACCCAACAATAAAGATCTATGAGTGAGCTAGTCTAATTTCTCTGTTGATTAAATGATGTAACCATGCCGGTCCCCCCCTTGCCAAGTATGATTGGAATCGGCCATCTCTGAGGACACTCTTGCTATTTCTCGAGGGATCATGGTGGAGGTTATTGACTCTGTTTCAAAAGCTACTGAACTAAATTGAGCACACAGTAGGCACAGACGATGGAGTATGCTACGGAAACGTGGCCAGTCCGACGGCTTCTTCATTGCAGTGGTAAGGTCCGTAAGATCTGATCCTATGATTACTTCTTGGTAGCCATGGTCTTTCATACTAGTTAGAGCCCATTCAAGACATCTGAGTTCTGCAGCAATTCTAGTAGGGGAAGACGTCAGAGCCTCACGTGCATGGTGTAGAACATTCCCTGACGTATCTCGTACAACAAAGGATGTTCCACTGTGAAGCACAGCATTTCGCCAGTTAGCATGAATATTACACTTGACAAAACCAGCCATAGGAGGTTCCCATCTCTTGTTTTCAGCTACTATCCCAAACTCATTTTCCCCAGGAGACGTACTCTTATTCAACTCATTCCAAGTCCAAGCTTCCTCACAAGCTTCCTTGATTTGTGTATCCAAGGATATTTGCGTTTCAGCATACAGAATATAGTTTCTATTCTTCCAGATAGTCCATAGAGCCCGAGGAATAACCTGACGTTGGCGCTCAGGGATTGAACCTTCCGTCATCAACTTGAGATGAAAAGAGAGCAATTCTACAAGTTACATATTGGAGTGTTCCGGACTCTGTTGAAAGCCCATACGGGACCATATATCACACGCCATTGGACAATGGAACAACACATGGACGATTGATTCCGGTCCCAACGAGCAGAGCTTGCAGTTTACGTCTAGACTTAGACCTCGTGTGCTTAACTGTTCAGCAACCGCAAGAGCTCCAGACGCAGCTCTCCAAAGGAAACTGCGAATCTTAGGCACTGTAGGGATCTTCCATATCCTACGTTTGAGTTCCACTATCTCTGGGTTATTCCCATTCCCCACTTCTAGTTGAGATTCCTTTACCTTTGCTGCGAGTGCATAGCCAATTTTAACTGTATATGCACCTTGAGGAGTGAACGCCCATATGTCCATGTCAGCCGTGTATCCCACTGGAAGCTGGAGAATACGTTGAACTTCATTAATAGGGAACAATTCCTGAAGCTTCATATTGTTCCACCGGCCATCAGCTAACATGAGAGATTCTACCTTCAAGTTGACATCAATGGATGTGTTCCGATTCACAGGACGACGAGGAGATTCATCCATTATCCATTTCTCTGACCAGACATAAGTAGACTTCCCATCACCGATCGACTTAATGAGTCCCTTAGCAAGCAACTCCCGACCAAATAAGATACTCCTCTAAGCATAGGAAGGTCTGACTCCTTTACCACAGTCCATCAGATTCTTATTTGCAAAATACCAAGCCTTGCAAATCCTCGCAATCAGACTGTCAGGATTGTTAAGTGATCTCCACGCTTGCTTTGCCAAAAGGGCTTGGTTGAAATCTTCAATATCTCTGAATCCCAAACCACCTTTATCCTTCGGCACACAAAGTTTTTTCCACGCAATCTAGTGTATCTTTTTCTTATCACCACATTCATCCCACCAGAAACTTGCCATTGCACTCATGATCTTCTGACAATGGTGCTTGGTCAATCTAAAACATGACATGGCATAAACCGGCATCGCCATGGCTATAGATTTAAGCAGAATCTCTTTACCTCCTAATGATAACTTTTTTGCGAACCATCCGTGCAGTCTCTTATTGAGCTTTTCTCCTATGAACGCAAGGAGCTTCTGTTTGGAACCACTGAAACACTCAGGGAGACCAAGGTATTTACCATCTCCTCCCTCCTTTTCTATACCTAAGATCTCCGCTAAGAGTCTTTTCATCACCGGATCAATCCCAACTCCAAAGGTAACAGCCGACTTCTGAAAATTAATAACCTGACCTGAAGAGTCCTCATACAGCTTGAGACATGTAAGTAAATGAGAGCATTCAACTAAGGTAGCATGGCATATGAAGAAGCTGTCGTCAGCGAAGAGAAGATGTTGAACTGCAGGGCATGTAGGAGCTATTTTCATACCAGAGAGGAGGCCTTTCTGCTCAGCTTGCCTCATCGTGTGGATCAGTGCCTCAGCACACAAGATAAACAAGAACGAAGATAAGGGATCGCCTTGTCGTATACTACGTTGAGGAGATATGTGGCCATACGATTGCCCATTCACCAACACCAAGTAGGAGACATATCGAACACATCCCATAACCCAACCAATCCATTTAGGATGAAACCCCATCTTCACAAATAAAGCTTCTAAAAAGTTCCACTCCACTCTGTCGTAAGCCTTCGACATATCAGTTTTAATGGCTATAAAATCTGACTTACAGCTTGGATTAGTCCGCAATCTGTGGATCATTTCATGAGCAATCTGTAAGTTGTCCGAGATGAGGCGATCCGCTACAAAAGCACCTTGAGCCGGAGAGATAACAGACGGTAGGATGTACCTTAGCCTATCACATAAAATCTTGGAAACAATCTTGTACACCACAGAACAAAGACTGATCGGCCTGAGATCCTACATATGACTGGGGTTCTGTACCTTCGGAATCAAGCAAATTTCCGTGAAATTCCAATCTGCTGGTAACTCTCCAGAGTAAAAAAAACCCCAAACTTCCTGAGTAACATGATGTCCAGTAATATTCCAAAACTTCTGGAAAAACTGGCCTGTCATTCCATCAACCCCTGGAGAGCTGTCACTCTTGATTGCTTTCACTGCACGTTTGATTTCTCCATCAGACACTGGTTTTGTCAAATCTCTATTCATACGGTCTGTGACTCTTGGTGTCATCCCCTCAAGCAATTCAGACGAATCAGCTGATCCATTTGATTGGAAAAGGTCAGAGAAATACTCCACAGCAATTTTTCCTTTCACATCTTCTGCAAAATGTTCATGGCCAGCACCATCAACGAGAGAGTGAATCTTGTTCTTCATTTTCCTAGACTCCACCCATCCATGGAAGACTTTAGTATTTTTGTCGCCTACACATAACCAGGAGTTTTTACTTTTCTGTTTCCAGAATGCTTCTTCCTCCTAGAAGGCCTTTTCTAACTCAGTACGCAACACCGGAAGTCGGGACAAGTCAAATCTCACTTTGATCTCTTCAAACTCCAAGGCTTTGCGTAGTCTAGCAATGCTCACATTGGAGTTGACATTGGCCGTTCGTTTCCATTTGGCAAGCTCCTGTCTGCAGGACCTGATCCTTTCTGAAACCAACGCAGGAAGAGAAGATCCATTCAAACTCTATCCTCTACTAACCACATCTTGGATCCCTGGTTTCTTAACCCATCTTTTATCGAACATAAACCTTCATGTTCTCTGAGGTTGTGTGGATTTTAGACCAGTAAACAGTGGTCGATGGTCTGAGCCAGTCTTCTCTAAGTAAAACGAATGGGAATTTAAAAAGAGTCGAAACCATTCTGAATTTCCAAATGCCCTGTCCAACCTCCATTGGACCCACACCTCCTTAATACCATTACTTGTGATCTCTCTTACTCCAGACCAAGATAAGCCGATTTCCTAAGCTAGGAATTTCCTTTAAACGACAGTTGCGAGCCAGCGCTCGAAACTCAAAAAAGGAATTTTCTTCTCTTCTAGGTCCACCAACTTTCTCTGAGTTATTCATCAACTCATTAAAGTCTCCTACCAGAAACCATCCTCCATCTCTATTCATACCAATGTCTTTCAGCAAATTCCAGACAATAGACCTTCTATGTTGCACTGGATCTCCGTAAACAAAAGAAATAAAGAAGGTTCTGGAGCCACTTTTAATCTTCGTATCAATGATCGTGTTCGTGGCTAACAGGTTTTCCACCTCAAAATTACTCTTCCAAAACAACGCCAAGCCTCCACTAAGTCCCACTGGATCCACCAGAAAACAATGGTCATAACCCAACGAACTCTGAAACTTCGCGACATAATCACTAGAGTTTTTAGTCTCTAGGAGAAACAAGAAATCCGGGAGATGTACACGGCACAACTCCTCAAGGCGTCGAACTGTCAAGTTACCTCTCAAACCTTGACAGTTCCAACTGAGCGTAGTCATTGAGGATTGGATGGTTTCTGGTGAACCATCAAACCTTTAGCTGCCTTAGACATTTTCGATGTAACTTCTACCTCTTCTCCTGCTTTTCTTTTCAAATGACTTTCCTCCCCATCTTTTTCAACCGATTTAGCTTGATTCCTGGAAGGCTTCTTACTTTGTCTTTTCCATGAAGAGGCTTTCCGCTGGTTGTCTTTGGTTCCCCCTCTTTGTATTGCCGACAAGGGGGAGTATCTTCCCATTTCAAAATGCCCAAGTGTGGGAGCATTCGGTAAGCCAAAGGTATCCCCTTCATCTTGTTCTGTGACTCGAGCTGGTGACACCAGACCGTTTCTCTCACCTGCTGCATTCCCACATTGAGCTCTATCAAACGGTGAATCAGATTTGGATCTCGTAGCCTGATTACCAGTAATCATCAGGATGTTATTCCTATGATTATTCTCTTGCTGAGACTGAGAGTGGCTAGAGGACTCTCCAACCTCCAAAGCATTCTCCCCACTCGCCTTCCTATAATCAAAAACCAGACCTCTGTTCTTGTTAAGGATATTAGATATCACCGGAGCCTCTTCCATGCGTAGGCCAGCACGCTGAGCTATTGGATCTCGGGATAGCTCCTCCAAAGTTTTCTTCATTCTGAACTCTCTTATTCTTCTTTCCTCACGATCAACACAGTTCACGTAAAACTGCATTTGTTCAAAAACTTTTGGCGCAATTAACCCTGCAGGCGGTGTAAAACCTGGTGGAACCGTCGGAGCCAATAAAGGCATAACATCTTCAGCTAAATTGGTATTGTGTTGCCTCTGAGCGAGCCTCTGCATACTCGTTGAAACCTGAGGAGTTTTCCTTTTAGCATTCACCCCTTGTTGGCCTTTCAGTAAAGGACAAATCTTCTTCTCATGTGATAGTCTGAAGCAGTGGAAGCATTTTTTCCGGATGTGCTCATACTCAATCTCAATGATCACCGAACCGCCTCCCTTCGGTGGATTCATACATTTCTTCTCCCTTACTGGTAGGCTCAGATCCATCACCACCAACACCCTGATATAATCCTGCAGAAGCAGTTTCTCAGGATCCCACTCAATATCCTTTCATATCCTATAGCCCCTGCAATCACATCAATCGTTTTAATTGTAAGGTAATTAACCGGGATATTAGATATCCTAATCCAGACCGCCGCTTTCTGTAAGAAGTTCTTAGGAGGAGACTCCACCCATCTATCTAACACCATACCCCAGTCATCAAAAGTCCAAAAACCATGCTTAACAACCGTTTGAATGTCGGTCTCCAATTCAAAGATGAACTGAAAACTTTCCTTAGACAAAGCAATACCACGGACCCTTTCATAAACCTTCCAAATCTTCGGCATAGTTCACAGCATTCTGGCCATATTTTGACAGGCTGGATTCAAAAAGCGCCCCAGCAAGCTACGATTGCTTCTTTCCACCGCGCTGAAGTCGTCATCCTCCAGTAGTATTATGGGAGCATCATCCTCCAGGGACATTCCTTGCATAACAAGAAGCCAAATTATCGTCCATCAGAAGTAAGAAGATCTCTTTCCGTCTTGATAGATGAAGCAGCACAAGCGATGAGTTGTGTATGAGACTAGGCGGCGCAAGAAGAACCCTAGATAAACACTGATTGTGTATGAAGATTTGGAAAAAATAACCATATTTCCATAAAATCTTTGGATATTTCCAAAAAGATTTTGGAAAATTTTCGAACTGATCCATTTGCCGGCAAGGAAAAAGCCCTTCCGGAAGTTTGCTCTCCTCTAATTGGCTAAAAGAAAATCGTCCTTAGAGAGAGAATTTTGAAACATTTTTGGGTGTTTTTGGTTTGAAAAGTAAAAATTTTAAGTGGGATATTGGCACGTAGTGTTCAGTGACCTCACTCCAGATGAGATTACCTCACAATAGTTGTTTTGCTTCCGGTGGTGGTGACGTTAACCACTAAGATTGAACATATAAGGTAGATTGATAAATAACAAATTTTAAAAGTTTTAAAAGTGCTGATGTGGCTATTTAAGGGAGAAGTAAAAACTCTCTCATTATATATAAAAAACATTTTTGGGTGTTTTTGGTTTGAAAAGTAAAAATTTTAAGTGGGATATTGGCACGTAGTGTTCAGTGACCTCACTCCAGATGGGATTACCTCACAATAGTTGTTTTGCTTCCGGTGGTGGTGACGTTAACCACTAAGATTGAACATATAAGGTAGATTGATAAATAACAAATTTTAAAAGTTTTAAAAGTGCTGATGTGGCTATTTAAGGGAGAAGTAAAAACTCTCTCATTATATATATGATTTGTAAACAGTTATTTAATAACTGTTGAACAATAATGATTATTAGATTTTGATATGTGTTTTGTAAGCGCGAGAATATTTTATGATGAATATTTTCACTAATAATTAATAAATATTTTGTTAATTTGAAAAATATGTGTATTGAAAATATTTTTGCATTAAAATTTTTTTTTTTTAATTTGACACGAACCCGTAGTTTAACTAGTTATTCCATTGATCCGATAATTTGATTATATTTTTAAAATATCAATATTTAAAAAATCAGTAAACACCGAGACCAACCGATTGAACCGATTGATAACCGTTAAATAATATTTAAACTTTTAAAATTAAGTTCTATTTAATTTTTTGTTATTTATAAATTATTTAAAATTTTGAAATTATTTCATTTATCTAAATAACTTGAAAGAAAATTGTTAGAAATTATTAAAAAGATGAGAACTAATATTTTGTATTATTTGAACACAAGGTTAATTATAATGTTGTTTGGAGACACTGATAGTAGTAGTATAAAGAAATAAGTATGTTGTTTGGAAACATGGATAATAGTTAGTATAAAGAAAGAAATATTAGTGATATAATGTATGCTTAACTATAAAGTAGGAATGTGTATTTACTTTAAAAACTTACAAAAAAATGTTAGGGTACAACACAATGTTTCTGCTTTAATAAGATATATAATTTTTTTCAAATACTTTGTCAATCAATGTAGTCGGTTTTTATTTACTCATTTTTGCTTCTTTGTCACAAAGCAGCTCAAATCACTAATAGCCTAGGTTGCATGTAAGCTTTATCGGACGTCTGCTTCCCGTTTTATAACCAGAATCGAAACATTGGAAGATTACCATTCCATTTTGGAATCACACTTCCATTTTTTCTTTTAAATACAATGTCATAAATCAGTAGAAAAATATAAAATCATATTTTTGTTTTTATGTAAAATCTAAACTTTAATAGTAATGAAATAGAGATAATATAAATATACAAAATATTAAAACTAATATTATAAATTATCTTTATATATTGAGGTTTTATTAGAGATATAACATATATTCAAATATATTGTGTCTATTATTTAAGAAATATTAAAAATGATTAATATAATAATTTCTTATAAAATTATTTTATGTGTATTTTTACAATTTTAATATGAAATAATTTATAATTATTGTAAAGGAATAAATGCTTTATTTTAAAATGAATCATTTAATTTTCAGTCATATATTTATAAAATTTTCTTATATTTTAATATGTATATATGGATATACGCCTTCCAACACGTATCCACTTCCCAACTTCTTTAATAAAATCTTGACACTTCCATACACTTCCGCTTCCGTTTCTGCTTCTGAATCCGCTACTGTTTCTGATTCCATATAACATAGCTAATACCTCATCCTAAAACTTTTGATCTCCTGGTTTAGGAGTCACGAGTTAGTACAACTCATTTTTGTTAATATATAAAGTTTACAACTCAAAAAAAAAAAAAAAAAACCAAAGTACAAAATAGAAAGAAAATGAGGAACCATTGACTTAAAACCACACATAACATTCAAACCCAAGCCCAAAACAAACATAACGCAATACAAACGAGAAGGGCCCAAATGCGAAGGCGATCAGGCAACGTTTGGAAAATCAGGCTTAAGAATCCACACCCGGATCCGGACTCGAACCTGAACCCGAGCCCCCATTGATCTCTCCCTCTCTTCCAATTTTCTGCAAATCATCAGCGATGAATCCTCCTCCGCCGCGAAATCCAACCCGTGTTCCCGAGTCGGAATCCCCCGCCCCAACGGAAGTCTCGTCGATGAAACCTCCGCCTCCCAGAAACCCTAACCCACCTGATCTCGACACAACGGAAGTAGCAAACCCCAACCCCGAGCTAACCGAAGATTCCAAGGAAGATTCCGCCGCTTCAGAATCGAGAAATCCACCCCGTGCTCGATCGGCGAAACAGAGCCCCGTCCCGTACACTATTCCAGAGTGGAGTGGACCTCCTTGCCATCGGTTCCAGCTTGAAGTCCTCAAGGAAGGCGCCATTGTCGACCATTTAGACGTGTATGCTCTCTTTACTCTAGTTTTATGTGTAAATCTATTTGTATGCAAATCTTTTTTTTGATTTCTATCTTTGCAGGTATGAGAAAGGAGCTTACTTGTTTGGACGTGACGTCCTCTGTGATTTTGCTCTTGAGCACCCATCGATTTCACGCTTTCATGCTGGTGATTGATTTTGTATCCATATTAAGAGTGTTGAAGCTTTCGATTCGGATTATTCGCGTGTCTCATTCTGTTTTTTTTTTTTTGTAATGTCTTTGCAGTTATTCAGTACAAGAGAAGTGGAGTTGCGTATCTATTTGATCTTGGAAGCACTCATGGAACGTTAATTAACAAGAATAAGGTGTGTGGCTTTAATAAGTCTGTGCCTTTATTTAACTTACAAGTGGTATTGTTCTAACAATGTGTTTGTGGTTATTACAGGTTGACAAAAGGGTTTATGTGGACTTGCATGTTGGTGATGTTATTCGATTTGGCGGGTGAGTCCATTTTTCTGTGATATTTATGATTATTATCTTGTCGGTGTTTTTGATCTGAGATAGCTCTTTATTTCATATGCAGTTCGACTCGGCTGTACATTTTCCAAGGACCTTCCGAGTTAATGCCACCTGTAAGATATACGTTCCACTTTTAACAGAATGTAGTTATTGATTAGGTCACTGGTATATGTTCTTTCTTTTGGTTTTAAATTTCATCTCATTACTGCTATACCAGTACTTTCTGGAAAGACTGTTGCTTCTGCCTTGCTTTATGTCCATTTGATCTGCTTTTGGTATTTTTTTTTTAGGAGAAAGACTTGCAATTAATGAGAGAAGCAAAGCTGAGACGGGAGATGTCGGAACGAGAAGCTTCCCTTCGGCGTGCAAGGCAACAAGCAGCCATGGCTGACGGTGTTTCATGGGGCATGGGGGAAGATGCTATTGAAGAAGAAGAGGTAATCATGTTTTATCATCTGTTAGTGTTTCTGAGTTCTGACTGAGTTTGTATTTTCTTTTGTTTGGAAATGAAGGAGGATGTTGAAGAAATTACTTGGCAAACATATATGGGAGAACTCACACCAAAACAAGAAAAGACTAAGGAGAAAGTATTGAAACGGTTGGAGAAGGTTAGTTTTTTATTCCCAATGTTTCAAGTTTCAACTCTTCACTCAAGTCATAAATACACTTAGAGATATTTTGATAGACAACCCCCACTTTGTCTCATCTTTGTATGGAACTTTACTCATGTGCAGATTGGCCATATGAAGAAAGAAATAGCTGCTATTCGAGCTAAAGACATTTCTCAGGGTGGATTAACACAAGGACAACAAACACAGATCGCCAGGAATGACCAGAGAACCGCCGAGGTAACCTTTACTTTAGTGTTGTTAATATGTAGTGGTAACTAAATCCTCATGAGAATCTTCGATTTCGGTTACATAATTCTTTGCTTGGTTCCCGTCCCTTTATATATATAGCTTTTAGAAGAGCTTGAGACCTTGGAGGAGACACTGAATGACAGCATTCGAGAAAGTTTGGGTGCAAAAACAGGAAGAAAACCTACGGGTAAGAAGAAAGGAGCTGTAGAAGATGAGGAAGACTTCTCGAGGTAGTTCAAGTGTTCAACCTCTGTATCTGCATCTTCATGTAAAGTATAGCTTGCGTGTCTGTTGTTTTCTGATTCTCGCGAGAGATGTTGTGTTCTTTTCAGTGATGAAGATGACTTCTATGATCGGACCAAGAAGAAACCATCAACACAGAAAGGCAGCGAAAGCCAAACTGTGGAAACGGTTGACTCTCTTCTAGAAAAGAGAGACAAAGTTTTGAAAGAAATAGAAGAAAAGAATGAACAGCTTTCGGCAGAGAAGAATAAGATGGAGACAGAGACCGTCCCAGAGGTTTCTTCGGGAGACTCCCTTGATGCATACATGACAGGGCTTTCTTCAACAATTGGTATTCCTACAGTTCATTTTATCCTTTTATTCAGGAAAAAATTGTGAACGATATTAATAAAATTTTCCTTTTATTCTTGTCAGTGCAAGATAAAACCGCTCAGATCCAGCAAGAGTTGTCTACTCTTCAGTCAGAATTGGATAGGATTTTGTACCTTCTAAAGGTTGCTGATCCAAGCGGAGAAGAGGTTAAGAAAAGGGAGTTGAAGTCACAAGAACCAAAAATGAAGCAATCTGAAATTCCTCCTGTGGAAAAGAAGAAGAACCTACCTTTAAAACCAGCTGATGCTGATGAGAATAAAGAGAAAGAGGTGGGCAAAGATGTAGAGGACTCAAACAGTAAGCCTGAAGTTGAAACGAAAGCAAGTGAAACAGCTGAAGAGAAGAAGACCGCTGTGTTTGTTCCAACAAAACCCCAATGGCTCGGTTCCTCTGCAAACAAAGACACAGTTGAAGAGAAAAAACCTGAGACTGTAGATGCTTCTGCTGCTACTGATAGCAGTAGCACAGATGATGGTGATGGGTTTGTTGACTATAAAGATAGAAAGACAATGATCGAAGGTGCAACAGGATTAATCATAAGAAAACGGAAGCAAGAAGACAAAAGCAGCAAAGAGGAAGATGAAAAGTCGAAGGAAAAGCATGCAGAGGTCATGGCTCAAGACGCAGTTGCTCTTTTGTTGAAACATTCTGTAGGACATCGTATAGACGAAGAAGACGAAGGAATTAGTAAAAAGGAAGAAAGTAAGCAAGGAAGTGGCCGTAGTAGAAAGAAAAAGAAAACTGAGAAAAAAGTACTTGGTCCTGATAAACCAGAATATATTGATGAAAGCAGCACAGATTTTGATTCATCATGGGTACCTCCCAAAGGTAAAGCAATACACCAGGACTTTTTGAATCGAGTTCAGTTTTATAAAATTGTGATACATAATACTGACGTGATGTGTATCTTGAATGCTGCAGGACAATCGGGTGACGGACGGACGTCTCTAAATGATCGTTTGGGATATTGATCGGCAATTTAGTCCCCAAGAGCAAACCACGGGATCGAGGGAAAGGTCAAAAGTGTAGCTTTAACCATGTCAAGTTTGCATCATTCGTTTTGGTAATATTTCCTGGTCACACTCACGGTGTTTCATGCTGTAAGTTGAATGTGTGAAGTGCCTCTTTTGTGGCTTTCTTGTCTTGAGTTAAGTTAAGCTTCATACAAAAGCACAGCCCTCTTCTCTTAGCAAAAGAAACAACATTCAGTTTTAGTGGATAATGTGTTATTTGAGTTCAAGTGGAATGTTGATGATGTACTGAAGACGTTTTCATGATGGAACATTGCAGAATATGAAAAGAAATTCAGGGATGAGTTAATATTAATGCCTCTAGTGTTGCAAATAATGAGCATATATGATTGAAAAGTTAGCCAAAGAAAATTTACTCCAACTGAATGCAACACACTCTAGGGATTTTGACGGAATGGTTGGACTTGTAGTTCACGTTCGTAAGTTACGTTCTCTGCAATTTCTGGATTACGATCAAGTGATGATGGTGAGAAATCTGTGGGCCAGCAGGAATTGGTAAGTCTACTATTTCAAAGCCATTCTTTAGCAACTCTCAGCTTACTTACTATATGAGTATGGTAAGAAGTTGCATTTTCAAGTGGAGCTTCTTTCAAAGATTTTGAGCCAAAAGAGTGTGATGATAGATGCGATTAGGGATATGTAGGTGCTTATCATAAATGATCTCGAACAGTTAGATTTTTTATTTTGGCTCATGAGACATCGTGGTTTGGTGGTCCTGCAAGCAGGATTATCACGACTATAGAAGATCGTACCGTCTAGTGTCATGTGTTGGTCAAACATAGTCCGAATAAGTAAAAAATATTAATAAATGTCAAAATAAATACAAAAATTTGGCTTATTCTTAAACAAAATTTTGGTTTAAAATTTCAAGTTTTTTAAGATATACTCCTAAATTTTTAGTTTATATTTGAAAGAAAAAAGCTCAAATATATATAGATAAAACTATTAATTTTAAAACTATTTCATTACATTTCAAATATCTTTGTATATAGCTAATATTTTTCTTGACCAGAACCTTAATATAATTTCAGACGTCCCTATAGAAGATCAATAGGTTTGGAGGAAAATGTAATCAACAAATCTACCATGTGGATTTTCTTGACAAAACTCTCCACCTAATTGTTTTCTAAAAGCTTACAGAAAAAAGTAACCGAACTTTGCGGTCATCTTTCATTGGGTCTCCGTGTAAAAAAATCGTCTTTACGGGGGAAGAGTTTGGATGAGTGGGAAATTGTAATGCACAGACTAGAAAGTGGCTTTGTTTCTCCACATTGGAGTGGGGATTTGTTTTTTTTTGTCATGGCCATTCTTGCCGAGAGGAATTTGGTCGTTCGACAACTTGGACGTCAAATATGGATTGAAACATACATATACAGTATAAATGAATCAACTAGGCATGGGTCTCGCCTTCACACTCTCGGATGTCACAAGACTAGACACCTCAAGACAGTACCACATGCCCACAAAGGCGTAACATATCTAGACCTAAATAAGACTGGTTTTGAGAAGATTCCATATGACATCAAAGGTGTACATTGGCTACAATTCTTTTACTTCTAGGCTGGTAGCTGTAGATAAACTCGCATCACAGCCTGAGCTTTCTGACTCGCTTATCTACCTGTTTGGAGTTGTAGACGAGACTGTGAATCATTTGAGAGCGTATCTTTCCTTTTGAAGACTCCACATGCGGAACTTTATTTCACCAATTGCTTCAACCATTGACAAAACAACTTTTCATATTGGTTGTTTTTCTACAACGAACCCCGACCAGAACATCTGGTTATGTTTCACTTTGGCTTGCTTAACAAAACAAATGTCCCGAAGTGCGCAACAAGTTACTGTTGGACTTCAGCAACATATCCCATATTCCCATGCCTACGATATTATCGAGTGAGGTGTCGTATTCTGTTTAGAGGAGCCAGATGGAAGCAGTGACGGGAAAACTAAGTATTAATAAGACCAAGTGTCTAAAAAGAATGCATCTGAAGACGGTATCAAAGGCATCAAACAGGCCGACTGATGGAGTTGTCTCATCACAACGATTGCTATTGGTTGGTGTTGCAGACTTAAGCGTATAAGAGTATGTGCATCGGTTAGAAATAGTGTAAAGTCTTTTTGTTGTCAACGAAATATATTAAAATTGTTGGTGTTGGTTGGTGTTGCAGACTTTCTAAGGGCGTTCTGACTCAAAATTTTGATCTGATTTCAGATTTAGGATATATTTGCAGCTGGAGTTCATAGATACTACCTTTCTTCATTGTTAAGGTGATGGTCTATTCCCAAACTTCTCATACTTGGCTTAAGACTTCGAATAGGCATATACTTTAATCCTAATATGTTTCCGTCTCTTTGAAATCGAGTTTGTTGATGTCTGCTTGGAGTCTGATTTATAGTTATTTAGGTTCTTTGCTTAAACCGGAATAGGGAGTCAGATGATTCAACCTTGCTTGCGTAACTTAAATTGATGTAAATATGTATAAGAAATATATATATATATTTCAATTGTGCGTACCTTGTTTTCTAGAGGCAGACTTGGAGTCTGGCATGTGACTAGCGGGACAGAGGTTTGTACCTGAACGCTAGAGTTGGGGATGTGGCGGCTTTAATTCGATCCATGTTGTATGCCTCGAGATCGATAAATCGTCCACGGGCGGTGTGTATGGGCACTAATCCCATACGTGAATCCCGTAGAGGGAGACTTATACCGGGGGTGATACCGGGCACTATTTTGGTGGTTGGTCCGTTAGCGAGCAGTGACTATATATATATTTATACGCTGGGACCGTGATTGTTTCTTGGGTACCTTAGGTGCCATGCTTGTAACATGTTTGGATTAAATTATGTATATTCGGAGGGTTATGTCCGGGTTCATGTACTCCGGAGATAGCATCTCATATTTTACTGAGTGACTCCCCAGTCGCTCATTCCTCTTTCTTCTCCCATTTCAGGTGAGACAAACAACAATATGGTATTTGGATGGACTCGGTGCTACTGGGCTTTTTATTTGGATTTTTTTGGGCTTGAGCGAGTGTAGTTGTGCTTATGGGCTTTTATGTTACGAGATTGTTGGTGGCCCGTCGTCCTTAGAGATAACAAGACGGGTGTCACGATTTTGTATGATGACGCGTCGGGGTTGACACGCTGTCCTCCAAGTAGGAGGTGACGGGTGTTACAGTTTTGGTATCAGAGCGGGTTCCGTCCCGATTTTGTCCCATGATGGCGGTTAAGGGATTCGGTCTTCAATGTTTTCAAATATATATATATATATATAACAAAAATAAAAAGGGTATTTGGAAAATTCTTTTCGCACCATTCTGTCTTGAAACTACTAATACAATTGTCTCTTTTTATGACGATGAGTAAAGTCATCATCATTCGTAATTCAGCTAACATGGGTCTACCAGATGTTCAGCAGATGTGTGATGCTGCAGTTTCTCAAAGGTTTATCAGTTTCTTCATTCATTATACCTATGTTGTACATGAGTGGATATGTGACATTTTTTCCATCACCCAATTTTAAGCCACCGCTCCACGAGATTCTCATGCAATAGTTTATGTGATGTTAGTTTTGAGCCACGGGTTGGCGTGTTTTTTTTTGTGTGTACGAGTATATTGACTATCTTGAAGATGTGCTTGGTTTGTAAACTCGTAGAGACCGCTTTTGAAATTAGGGTGAAGCATCTTGCGTTGTGGTTATATTGGAGTTACATTTGGCATGTTTGCCGGTTAATTTTTTTGGTTGTGTTGACCGTTTCAGAGATGTGTCAGCTCGAAGATCTATTTATATCCATTGAGTTTTATGAGTTATGTTTGAATGGCTCGAGATATTCAGAGATAAGTTAGAGATGGAGCTATATTGTATGGTGGCAGTTTTGAGATAGATTGATTGTCATGAAATCAAGAAGTCTAGAGTTGCTGATGGCGATAGTTTATATCCCTAGAGGAGAAGAGAGTTTTATTGTTCCATGCTACATGTTGAAGAGTTATTGGATAGAAGAGCACATTGGACTTTTGGAGACCATTTTGACGGTTAAGGATGATGGACAGCATGAACTGCACGATCTGCCAGTTATTGCAGTGCATGAGGATGTATTTGAGACCTATAGAAGGGCCACCATCAGATAGAGGACACATTTATACAATTGAGCGTCGGTTTCACGAATTCCATACTGATTAGCGCCAGCAGAGATGGCCGAGATGAAGAGATAGATAGAACATTGATTTAGCATCGAAATATCACCAGATTACCATAGCAAACGAGGAAGACAACCTTTGATACACACTATGGGCATTTTGAGTTTGTAGTAATAAAAATTGTATTGACGAATGCACCGGCAGTGTTCATGAAGCTTATGAATGTTCATGAATGTTGTGTTCTGCGAGTTTTTGGTTAAGTGCGTGATCGTTTTCATCAAAGATATCCTAGTTTGTTCTTGGAGCAGAGAAGAGCATGCAGAACATTTGCTAATTGTATTGGATAAGCTGAGAGAGCATCATATATTTGCTAAGTTAAGTAAGTGTTGCTTCAGACAGAGGATGATTAGACTTTTGAGTCACATGGTTTTAGAAGAAGGATTTGCTGTAGATCCCGAAAACATTATTGCAGTCCTAGAGTGGTCGACACCTAAGAATGCTGCTACATAGACCCGCAGTTTTGGTGAGTTAGCTACAAGGAGGTTCGTCATTTTCGAAGGTTTATTTGGATCTAGAGTACCATCAGATTACTATATCTGGGAAATATGTACATACTACAGTTTCACATATAAAATGGATATTATGAGTTGTAATAAGATTATTGGGTTGAAGAATGCACATATAGCGTTCATGGAACTTAAGAACGAATTCTCTTGTGAGCACTTGGATAAGTGTGTGTTTGTATTCATCGACGAAACCTTGGTTTGTTCTTGGAGTAGGGAGGAGTACGATGTGCATTGTGGAATTTGTAATGATAGATGAGGATTAGATCATAGACTAAGCATCAAGTCAAATGAAGAACAGGAAGATGGAGCGTTTTGGGATGGAAGTTGGAGATTATTGAGTACCTACGTGGAGATGCATTAGTGTTGTGGGACGAGTACGATTGAGCCATGATGAACCTGATAAGTTTACCTTGGAGATTTGCTAGAGATGGTATTTCAGAAGAAAACCTTATAGTTTCCGAATAAGATGCGAGTAGATATTCACAGCACGTGTCGTATCGTCGCTTACTTCCGATTAAGAGATTTAGTGGATACACCGAGCAGGAAACCAGTCTGAGTTATCGAGTTGTCCCTGTTACCATCATTGTCATAATGGAGAGTGTATTAAGATTTATGTTTTGGTCAGTTTAAGCATATTTTGAGGTCAAATATACACTGCACGATTGAAGTTAGCAGCAGTTGTATCGACTTTAAAGTTTTGGAGATCATTATTGTATGGAAAGGAAGCTTAGATTTCATGGGATCATCAGAGTCTGGAATGTATGTTCACTCATTAAAGCTTGTACTTGAGACCGTGCAGATGATATGAGTTGGTATTCGTCTACAGTTTGGATATCACCTGCCATTTGGTAAGGACAACCAGGTGGCAAATGCGTTGGGTAGTCACATGAGCGATGACTCAGGAAACAAGAAGGTTCAAGAGTTTACTACGACGCTTACAAGCCTTCAAATTATGTGTAGCCCAGTAGATGAGGATACAGTCAGTATTAGAGCATTGAGACATAAAAATTTACTATGGAGAATACACCAAGCGCAAGATAGCGGTATGGATTTGGTTAGGTGGATCGAGTTTGAGAGTATTGTATATCTCACAGTTTCGAGCAGGATGTTCTTGTGCATAAATCGAGTTGGTGTGTCGGACGACGGGATGTTAAGAGAAGGGATCTTACAGCAAACACGTCACTCGCGTTTCCCTATCCACCCGGGAAACACCTAAGAGTACAAGATATGAAGTGTTACTATCATTGGACTAGTTTGAAAAAGATTGTAGCTTTGCATCGCAGTGTCAGATGGCTATGTTTGAGGACCGGTCACCTCTCAGGTTATTGCCGAGTTTTGTTTTGCCAAAGTGGAAACAAAACCTTGGGATTATGGATGCTGGTACTGGATCGTCGATCATCACATGTAGAAAGGATATCATATGAGGGGTTGTGGACGTATTTACTAAATCATTTATTTTCCAAATAATTATAAAGGCAGTTGGAGCTGATTAGTTGGCACAGATTAAATCAAAGAGATTGTAAGGATTGCATGGAGTTCTTGTGAGCATTTATCGGATCGGGATGTCAACTCACGTCTACATATGGAGAGTTTCTCAGAAGGCGCTTGGGGAAAAGATTTATTTGAGTATTACTTATCATCCGGAGACAGATGGTCAGTTAGAGAAGACCATTAGACTTTTGAGGATATGTTCATAGATTATGTCTTACAGTGGAAAGAAAGCTATGGAAATGTGTACCTCTATCAGGGTTGCCTATAGAGACAGATATAATTAAGGTATTGAGTTAGCACGGTATGTACCTTTTTATGTTAGGCTTTAACATACACTATTTTGTTGGACAAAAGTAGGGGGGGGGGACAGCAAGTTATAGGACCATGAATGGTTCCAGAGACGCTAGAACAAATGGACATGGTCAAAGTTGGCTTCGGAAAAGCCATGACCGTCAGAGGAGTTTTGCAGATGAGCGCCATAAATATTTGAAGTCAGGTAAGCGATCGAGTATACCTGAAAATAAGAAAATTTCAAGGAGTATATAAGATCCAGAAGCTAAAGAAGCGTAAACCAAAATGTATTAGACCATATTTCATAGTGGAACGGTTTGGAGAAATTGCTTTACAGATTGGAGTAGTGGCTTACGGATTCAATTTATCAGTAGAGTTATCAGATTTCTAGGAGGTTGTTTCAAGGAAAATCGTGAGAGAGCCATAGCTCCTTTTGCAGCAGCCGTCAGATGACCTCAGCGAGATTGGATTCATCTTTTCAGTTAGTGAAAAATTTGGATCGTCAAGTGGAAGCATTTCAGGGAATGTTGACAGTGTCTGTCAGATTTGTTGGGAGAGAGATAGTGTTTAGGAGAAGATGTCAAAGACCAAGCATATTTTTGTTCAATGATTTTGGGCAGTCAACGAATGACTCGAATTGGGGACGA